CTATCTATCTATCTATCTATCTATCTATCTATCTATCTATCTATCTATCTATCTATCCATCTATCTATCTATCTATCTATCTATCTATCGATCGATCGATCGATCTATCTATCTATCTATCTATCTATCTATCTTTCTATTATCTATCTATCTATCTATCTATCTATCTATCTATCTATCTATCTATCTATCTATCCTTCCGCTGGTGAATTTTAGTTCTCCTGGACGTTTGCATCTATACCAACATTGGTCTGGCATAGCATGACTGTACGATGACCATAAGTGACTAGAGGTAACATGAAAATCATGACATTTAGGTCATGAATTTCTAATATAAATTTTAGGGTCTTGCTGCTCCTGTCGAGGTTTCGTTGACATGAAATATGGCAAAACTGGTGTCGTATGACATGACTGCATGGCGAACTTAGGTAACAGGCCCTCACCGCGGTAATTATGGCATGCGTGTCAAGTAAGTCATGACTACACGCCACGCTCGTAGTACACTCGCAGTCATTTTGCTAGCTTGACATATACCAAATTTGAAATGACGTGACGTGAATCGATGACAGAGGTATATGACTGGCGCAAATATGGTATTCATTACGTGCGTGTCATATCGCAACATGACTACATTGCAGGCTCATGATGTGGTCGCGGCCGTTTCGCGAGCTTCACATATACCAAATTTGGTAGTACGTGACACGAACGGACGATGAAGGCAAATGACACGTCGAAACGTGACAATCATGACATGCGTGCCATGTGAAACATGACTACATGCTACGTTCTTAACGTGCTCCTGGCCGTTTCGCTAGCTTCCCATATACCGAATTTGATATAACTTGACATGATTGGACGACTGTGCAGAAATGACAGGCGCACACATAATAATCATGACATGGAAGTCGTGTACGGCATAATTTACTTCCGCCTCGTAACGTTGCGCTGATTTTAAGGTGATAATTCAACCTTCCTCATTTGTGCTTCGCATATCATCGATTCCCACTCTACGTGGGATCTACCAATTTTTAATTATTTTAGCACTGCTCCACGCACAAACGTACTTTTCATGTTATTTCAACACTGATTAGGACAAATATGGAAGCAAAATTCGGCACCTGTCATCATTAAACTAACTACAAAAACTCGCCAAGGGGGCATAGCGGCTATGGAGTTAAGCTGCTAAGCACATGTGCACGGCTTCGATTCCTGGTCATGGCGACCGCAATCCAAGAAATTTAGAAGAACCTGTGTATAGTCCGCCGTGGTAGATAAGTGGTTGTGGTGTTCGGCTTTCGACTCTATAGTCACGGGTTGGATCTCGGTCACGGCGATCGCATTTTGATGGAGGCGAAATGTGAGCGGCCCGTGTATACTGTGCGATGTCCGTCCCGTTAAAGACCACCAGATGGTCGATATTTCCGGAGCGCTCTACTAGGGCGTTTCTCGTAATAGTATCGGGGTTTTGGGACGTAAAACTTCACAAATTACTATTAAATACCGGGTATTCAATGATCTTGGTTATTGTTTTGCTCGAGAAAGTTGTCAACAAGGCTCAAGCAGTCAGATCGATAGACGTTCTTCTGTACCGAGAGAAACTGATACAAGCGACCTTTGGCTATATGTTCATTCAGTTTTGAGAACCTTGTGTGAGGTATACGAAGGGACAACGTTGGAATGTAGAGCATAAAAAGATGAGGCTTAATAAAGAAACAAAATATTTAGGGCTGGGGTTCCATGATATGGTGGTGTTTCTGACGGATGGTGCTATAATTTAGGACCAGTACCTCAACCTTCCGAATGTTTTCGTTCTCCTGGACGGCAACGTTAAAAGTAGGGCACAGTTACATAGATGCTGCCTGTTCCGACCCATCGTCTTACTTCAAGCAGCATAAACACTGGGACTTTGGCTTCCGTGGTCAAGCGATGTACCCGTCAACATTCTTAAAATGTACTTCACTTGCCTTCCTCACTCAGAACAGAGTCGTCAGAGAAGGGTCTAGTTTGACTGACAGAAGGCAGCACGATGCCGCAGATTCATTCGAGGTGAGGAGGGCATAACAACTCCTTGCATACCGAAATTCCATACTCTCCTAGCGAACGCAAATGCAGTTTCAATGATTACTTAAAGGACGGCAAGGCTAACGAAGTCCTGCCAGCAGGTGACGAAAAACTGGGCCTCTTAATCAAAAAACTAATTGCAGCACCGTGGTGTGCTCAGCTAGCTGGGAACTTGGAATGGATGCATGGCTAAAGCAAGCGCCAGGAACGACACCACACAAAGAGAAGAAGGCATGATGAGCACTCTTTATTTATTTGCAATCTTAACCAAAGGCATCAAGACACTATTGATCGCGTTATTTGAGTTATTTAAGCAAATAACTTATTTTACTGCCTCTGAGATGCCTTTAATTTCGTTGGGACATTTCATTGTGCAAAACATTCGTGTCACAATGATGCGTTGATCTATTCACCGCCATAAAATGTGCAGACCAACATTTCGATTTTGTTCATCGACAGCTGGCTCACCTTTGTGGAAGCGTTATGCAGTATGCGTTTTAAGGAAAAGCTGGCACCCTGTATCGTATACCAAGATGGGTGGGTGGACAAGTTGATACTACATTTTTTCTTTTAGCTTAGAGTGCAAATTAGGTCAACGGATTAACGAATACGTACACACACCACACGCGCTCATATCACGACGGTTATTATAGCGGGAGCTCAGAACGACGACAAAGGACAAGAAGATGAGCGTTCCTTTGTGCTCGGCTGCCGACCCGCTGGTCGGGAGATCGAATCTTGGTTCCGGCGTTTGCATTTTCGATGGAGGTGAAAATGCTGTAGGCCCGTGTGGTCTGATTTGGGTGCACGTTAAGCAACCCCAGGTGGTCAGGATTTCCCGACTCTTCCACTACGGCGTCTCTCATAATCTTATGGTGGTTATGGGACGTTAAACCCCTCATATCGATCAATCAAGACGAGCGCTCTTTTGTCTTGTTCTTATCTCGCGTAATAACAAATTTATGAACTACAAACTAGCCCGAACCACTACGCTCTTATCACACAGGTCATGCCCCGCATGCGTTCCTTCGTCTATGGTTGTTTGATATGCGCTCCACGTTTCCTTTGAATTAGGGCTTCATGCTGTCACATGACGTGGCTACTGACGTGACCCTTAATGACCACCTTACTGAATATACGTTAATCTGAGTGGTGGCGAAAGATCTTTCGCGACCATTACGAACATACCGGACGGGCGCATCAGCTGTTCGGCTACGACATGCGGTAAACAACAGTGTAAGTGTAATCGTAACATGGACAACTATGCTGACCTTGGCCCAACGAGAACAGAGCACTCGTGCAGTCGTCCCCTCTTGTGTGTTGTTCATTTGCGCTCAAATTTATTCCAGAATGAAACAACGCACCCAACAAAGCTTGTTAAAAACAGAGGTTTAAAACGCAGCGTGCCGCCTAGACACGACAGAAACTAACCAATTGGTCTTGCATGACAAATGTCTTGAAAGGCGGCGGTGGGTAGTTGTGAAGGTATTACATGACTGCTCCATTATCTGATCAACTACTCGCCTTGGCCGGACCACTGTGACAGGTCATGCGCGCCACCCGATATTGACGAAAATTCGTTTTGGGCAACAGGCGTAGCCAGAGAGAAGGATGGTGTTCAACGTCTTAGCCTTCACCACCTCACCCTCCTCGAAACACGGAAGTGTTTGCAGTTGTGTCTTGTTTTAATGTGATCGCATATAAATAGGCTAAGGGGAATATACCATTCTTGTAATTCAATGATTAGATTTGATAACAGACTGATGTGCGTCATGAAGCAGGAGCTGGGGGCATAGCAGTATGCATATAAACCTCATGGTGCCTCAAATCCCCGCGGGCGTGAATCGCTTCGTTTAGTGCAAGTTTTGCAACTGAAAAATGAACGAGCCAACGAATCGAGATTAATGTTAACGCGCATCCGACACATATGACGATACCTGTGTTCAACCCGGAATAGCAGGCCCCGCCGTGGTGGTCTAGTGGCTAAGGTACTCGGCTGCTGACCCGCAGGTCGCGGGTTCGAATCCCGGCTGCGGCGGCTGCATTTCCGATGGAGGCGGAAATGGTGTAGGCCCGTGTGCTCAGATTTGTGTGCACGTTAAAGAACCCCAGGCGGTCGAAATTTCCGGAGCCCTCCACTACGGCGTCTCTCATAATCATATGGTGGTTTTGGGACGTTAAACCCCACATATCAATCAACCCGGAATAGCAGTGCTGGTACACTGATTGTCGATCGAGCAGATCGATAAGCATCAAATTCATAAACAGTGATTGGCACCCTTCCTCAGATTGCGTAGTGGATACAGTCATGACAGCAAAATTCGATGTGGATCAGGGTCAGTCGCAATCAAAAGTGACAGTGTGACACTTGTATTACATGTACAGACGGGTCCACTGTTAAAGGAAACACTTTTATGCACGGCATGTTTAGTTTTCTACTCTCCTGCAAGAGAACAGTACCATAGATTTGCACAAGACTAGTGGTGATTCACAGTTATTACGCATTTTGAAAGACTAGTGCTGTACATGAACATTGTTACCTTATCCACTTGCTGTTAGAGAGCCGGCAATACGAGCGGCGCTCATTGTAGTGTTCCCTTTAACAGTAGACCGTACTGTACATCCTTGGATTACCGATCCGCCACAACAGGCAAACGCCCTCTTTGTTTCAATGAACAGTTCTTCTAACAGCTACCACTTAGTTTATTCGTAGGGCCGAGTTTTTCGAGACCTAAATATGCATACCAGCCGACAGCAAGCGAGAAACACAAAACAGGACAAGGATGAAAAGAAAACAATAAGAAAGCCTGGTCGTGCTTCAGGTGCCCCCTTTATATCTTTCTTCTTCCTCTTCTAAGAGAAGTGTTGGGAGATGGCTCGGGTTGCGGGGTGAGGGTGGTGTTGAGAGTGTTAGGTCACCTGAAGGCGGAGCACTCTCCATGCATCCCCCCAAATACGTCCACGGTCTTTCCTTCCACACTTTCACCCTGCGGAGCCGAAGTTTCGGCGGGGGTGAGGAGCAAGAGCGGCGGTGCACTCCTTTCTTGCCGGTCAAAAGCCCCTTTCTCGTGGCGGCCAGCTTGCAGTGCGTCCTCGGATATTTCGGCGCTCCAGGAGTCACTCGCGAGGCACAGGGCAATACAGCAGTGTGTTACGCTGGTGCGATGGCTTGGCCCCGGTACTTGGTAGTGGTGATCGTGTTGGCCGCCGCGTGCGCTTTCTTGGCCGCGGCCGATGAGGAGCAGCATGCTGACAGCATCGGCAGCACGGAAGCTCCGTCGGCGTCAGCAGAGACGTCCACCGTGGAAGACATCGAGCCCTTAGTGGCCGAGGCCGTGTCACAGGCTTTCAAAATGGGCCTGCCCGTGTTCACTCAGTTCGGTTCGGACCCGAACGTGACCAGCGAGTGCTCGGCCGCGCTCGTCAAGACGATGCTGGGACTGCGCCGCATGGAGCCCTGGGCCATACGCAGTGAGTACATGCGCACTTGGAATTTCAGGGCCTCTCTTTCCTTCACTTGTCTACCACTGTTATCTTGACATGATGATGGACCTGCTTGACGGCGGCTGCAAGCGGAGAAAGAAAAGTTTATCGTTGAGAAAGAGATATTTTTGTGACATTGTAGATTGTTTATCACAAATACTTTAAAAAAACACAATGACAGGTATCATGAGCAGTATGAAATAGATGTTTCGATCACTGCGTTACATTCACTCAGTCAGTTTCGTTACCTGGTAAGAAGAAAACGTTATTCACGTGCTTTTCGTGCTTTTACTAGCAGCTTTGTTGCCGCAAAACATTCTGTTTTTTTTTTTGGGGGGGTGGGGGGGAAGATCGCTCATCCACGTTTTTAAGTAATCTATATGTAGGTATTGGTTAATGTAACCAACCGCACAGACTTTTGCTTTACCAATGGTTTAAACAAAAGTCTGTGCGCTTGGAAAGGTTCTACTTTATGTTTAAATATTTTTGTCTCTGTCTTGAATTTTGTTTTACAGATAAAGCCATTTCTGCGTTACTTTGTTTTATATAAAGACCAGTAACTTTACTCTCTTCACCCGCAGTTTGTCACAACCTTAGACTGAAAGATGCTATGAAAACTCTATCGCAGTATACTGCTTTGCTTTCGTTTGTCATTTCGTAAGCACCTTTTTTCTAACGCAATTTTGGAGAGAAACACACTTTGTTAGTGCGCAGGGAATGTTTCAGAGGGAATATATAGCAGAGAGATTGCTCTGAAACGTTACCTGCACCCCAAGGAAGAATATTGCTCTCGAAAAATGCAATAGCAACCAGCCCAAGTAGCCACTTTTAGAACGCAAGTTTGCTTATTACGTTTCAGTCTAAATATTTTCTAATTCTTGTGGATTAATTTCATTAAATTGTGAAGTACGACACTTCTCTAAATATAGATGCAAAAACTCTGCATTGTTGCCGGATGACTCATAGTATTGTGAGGAACACCACACAGCGCATCAGTTTACGTCGTCATGAACCTGCAAGTTTGCCTTGACTCATTTGAGAGTGAATAGAGTTAAAATTAATTGACGATTTTTATATTTTTGTGTGGCCGAAATGTAAAACATTTGTCCTAGCATCTCATCAACTGGATCTCGCAAGTATGCCAATTTTATGCCATCAGCCTAATATTCTACACGACATAGCAACCACATGAATTTCGCTTTCATCCGCGTCATGCTCAAGTGAACTCCCGTGTGTGAGGGTTCTTTCGCACGAGAAAGAGCGACAGTGGGGGAGCGGTGAACTGGCACAGGAGTGTGATACTCTGCTGGCAACCATGCTACTAACGAAGAGCGATCACCTTGGCCTTCTCGTTTTTAGGCAATCTTTCGTTGTTTTTTTTTTTTTCGCCTTCGCTATAGAAAGCGACTACCTCCATTCGCTATTGACTTTCGCGTGGTAGTCCGTTCTGGGCACGACTGGGTTGAGCGCTTGGCGGTGCGTGATGAATGGTACGGGAAAACGAGGTACACATTCGGCGCAGAAAAAGAATACCGAAGGCTGATCTAGCTCAAGTGGGCATACCGTCAGCAGTCCAAAGGTGCGGTCGCTCTTATTTGCTTCACCACCTTACTAGGTCACGTCAGTATTTTTAAAAGTTGTGACAAACTTCATGAGAACGCTGTGGATAGAAATAAGGAGCTTCATTTCTTCCCCCTCTGTCCTGCTTTCAATCAAGCGAAGGCAGGAATGTTAATTGAAGCTTATCCATCGTTCTGCATTCATTCGATATATTATTGACTGCCTACACGCTGAATGCATGCAACTTGTCCGCGGTGAACTGTAGCCGGTGACTCATCAAGCAAATGTTTTCTTTTATTTTACTTCTTTTGGTGCGCTTTATAACGCAAGGGCAATGGGGACGTGACATTTTGCCATCTTGTCATTATTCTCTTTTTTCTTCGTTTCTTCATTCTTGATCACCACACTATTTGTTGACTTTACGGGAACGAATTTGCCTCAAAATTTATCAGACTTGAACATAAACCCCACAATGTCTTTCGCGTGTGATTTAATGAGCCAGGTTTGCCTAGAACGTCTCAGTGATAGTTTAGCTTTTCCAGTTTTCCCAATGTGTTCTATTTTGCGACACGCCAGGTTTCTTTCTTTCGTTCTTTTTTTTTCTCTCTTTTTTTTTGAGGCGTTGAAAAGAAAAGAACTTGTACCTTGTCGTTCCTTATGAAAGAGAACACGAGAACACGTGGCCTGCGCTCTGCGGCGGCTGTCTACAGCACCGTCAACCGACAAGGGAAGAAAGCACATTTGCTTTTGGCGTCATCTATGGCCAAGCAAAATAACTAGTCATGGCTGGTAGGCAAGCTCAGCTAGATTACGTTCCCTCACCGCTCGCACGGCGAGGGATATCGGGCGATTACTGCAGCTTGCGCCGGGGTTGCACACAACGTTTGATATGTTGGCAGTGGACTACGCAGTGCAGGCGTGAGCAGAGAGGAGTGCAATCAAGCAGCGCTTGTCTACCAACCATAACTCGTTTTTTTGTTTGTTTTTTTTTTTGGGGGGGGGGGGGAGGTGGGCAACAGATCATGTTGAAAGTAAACGTGTTCTCTTTTGCTGTCGGTTGATGGGGCTGTAGGCAGCCGCCGCATAGAGTTACTGTATATATTACCTTTAGGTAGCAGATAATAAGGGCCGCAACGCGAGTACGAAGGTGCTAGAAGAAACGTCAAACGAAAGGCGAGGGAAGGAAAGCAAAGAAGACAACACGAGCGCTCCTCTTTGCTTTCCTTGCCTCGCCTTTCGTTTCACGTTTCTTCTAGCACCTTCGTGCTCGCACTGCAGCCCTTATTACCATGAATTCCAACCAACTAGCCCAAATAGCCGTTCTTCCTTAGGTAGCAGAGCTGCGCCACTGATAGAACTAACCGCTTGCACCCCTATTCGCCAAGCGCGCTCACGTTCGCAAAAAAAAAAAAACAAAAAAAACGTCCATTTTAGGCAAAGCCAACTTTACAGCCGCGCTGGCGACCGCCGCGACACTCGCGCCACCACCACCGCCACCAAAGCGGTCCAGAGAGGCGATCCCACTGGTGCGGAGGTACTTCGTTGGTGTTGATTTTCTCTTGTGTTGTCCGTTTTTAGTGAACACAAGTATTGTTTGTCGGGCGCGCAGCCAGAAATTTTTTTTAGGAGGGAGGGGTGGAGGGGCACGTGCCTGGTGGGCCACCCTTTGGCCACGGCGAAGCGCCGTGTCTCAGAGCTGCGCAGTTGGCACGATGACATGTAGGATGCCAATGCTACGCATAGATATGCCGAAAATTCTCGTTTGCTCACGCTCTTTGTAAAACACGGAGGAATAGTTCTAGCGATTGTTTTATCAAGCCACTCGCCTAATCGTTCAAAGCGAAAAAAAAAACTACGTGAAACAAGCGATTAGCGGAACTTAAGTTGTCGCGAACCATGTACACGATTCTCAACAAACGAAGTCAAGGCTTTCTTGTTTGCTATTAAAAAATATATCTTGCTACGGTGACTGCCATCGAACATTGATTGATATGTGGGGTTTAACGTCCCAAAACCACTATATGATTATGAGAGACGCCGTAGTGGAGGGCTCCGGAAATTTAGACCACCTGGGGTTCTTTAACGTGCACTCAAATCTGAGCACACGGGCCTACAACATTTCCGCCTCCATCGGAAATGCAGCCGCCGCAGCCGGGATTCGAACCCGCGCCCTGCGGGTCAGCAGCCGAGTACCTTAGCCACTCGACCACCGCGGCGGGGCTGCCATCGAACAAGCTAGATGCATTAGGAATATTTAAGACCAATATTTATTCGAGTTTTCCCCCATTTTCCTTCGAAGCGAAAGTCATTGCACCAGCAACGGGTTATGACCGAGCCACAAAACGCACGGAACCGCTGTGCCGCGTCTGCTCCTACATTCGGAAGGGATTACTTTTCTGCATTACATGGACATCTCAGCGGGCAAGATGGGGGACCTATGCGCAACTCTGCTACCTAAAGGTAGCATATACGAGGGAGCTTTAGAATACCGTTTGCAAGTGCTGCGGGCGGGCGCCATTTGAGCTTTAGAATAGCGTTTGCCCTGCTGCACCGCAACGCACGATCGCAGCGACATCGTATACTATACCTCGAAACCAGCGCTTGCGGGCCACATGCGGACCGCGATCGCCACACGCAATTTCGTATTTTCTGCGTGCGGTCCGCGAACGCGAACGCCGACTCGCGTTGCAACGCATGCGCAGCGGCAGCGACCGAACCGCAAGGCCTCGCAGTGCGTTATTCTAAAACTCCCTAGTAACTCTACCGCCGCAGAGCGCACGCCACAGATTCGCGTGTTCCCTTTCATAAAGGACGACAGTGTACATTAGGCCACTTTACTAGCCGCTGTGCACAACGCACCGCAATGACGAACAGCTTCGCATTTGGTTGTGCGTGTGCGCCATAAACAGGGGGCGTCATTGATAGCGTTCACTTTTTAGCGGCGGTCGCAGATCAATCTGCCGCCGTTTGTTCAGTGAGCGTCATGAAAGCGACAGGCCCCTGTGCTCACTTTGTTTTTTTTTTTTTTTTGTCAAAGCCGTGAAGGCGAAACGTGTGGTTACCACGACCAGTATACGCGCATTTTGCGGCACGCGTTCGCACGCATTCTCAATGGTATTTTCCTGGTGCAATACGACGCGCATGCCACTGGCAATTGCCGGGATCTCAGATCGCGGCTCACGCGAAGCACGCGAAACGCGAGCCTTTCGCCTTGAAAACTGATTTCCTCCTCCGTTTCTCTGCACTGCGCTAACGCGTGCCGGTGCACCGCAAGGAAGTACCGGAGGCAACCAGCCGTGCAGTGTAGTGCTGTTGTTAAACACTTACGAATGCATTACGCTACAAGATGGGCTATTCAATACGAACGGATTCTCATTCCGAGGCGCGCTACTTCGAACGTAAGCGGTGCGCCCTTCATTACCTAAAGC